ATGAGGAGAGGCTGAGGGAACTGGGATTATTTAGTCTGCAGAAGAGGAGAATTAGGGGGATTTGATAGCAGCCTTCAACTACCTGAAAGGGGGTTCCAAAGAGGATGGATCTAGACTGTTCTCAGTGGTAGTAGATGACAGAACAAGGAGTAATGGTCTCAAGTTGCAGTGCGGGAGGTTTAGGTTGGATATTAGGAAAAACTTTTTCACTAGGAGGGTGGTGAAGCACTGGAATGGGTTACCTAGGGAGGTGGTGGAATCTCCTTCCTTAGAGATTTTTAAGGTCAGGCTTGACAAAGCCCTGGCTGGGATGATTTAGGTGGGGATTGGTCCTGCTTTGAGCAGGGGGTTGGACTAGGTTGGACCCCTGCTTTGAGCAGGGGGTTGGACTCCTGAGGTCCCTTCCAACCCTGATATCCTATGATTCTATGAATTATCTAGTGATTTTGCTAAAAGGCTTTCAGGAAACAATTAATACCATCCTGATAACATATATAGTATGGGCTAGCATGATTTTTGATGCATGAGGGTATGATCAGACCTCGACAGCTTCTCACCAGACATAGAGCCAGGGATCACAATGTGGAACTAGGAACTGAGGGGTATAAAGCCTATTGGAAGCCCAAGAAGGCTGGACTTGGTAACCAGTATAACTGAAGAAAAATGGAATATGAGAGACATTTTCACATCTACAGCCCAAAATATAAAGACGGACTTAGAAATTCCTCAGTCTCTCAGAAGTAGTAAACAACTTCCCGCTAAAGGGGAGGAAGGGAAACTGTACAATTTTGGGACAAAGGAAGCAACTGCTTTACAGTATGTGAACTCCTGCCACTGAATCAGAAAAAAAAACGGTAATGCCAAATGGACACTGTGTATAATATCTGTCATCCCGTTCTCACTGGGAAAACTTGCCTATGAACACATACTAGATGTACTAACGCTGGCTACATTTTATATATTTTGTTAGGTCAAGGAAGTTATAAAAATAGAAATTTGAGAGAAGTGGGGGAAGGACAACTGGACAGAGACAGAGAGGGTTCAAAATGCTGCTGGAAAAGTAGAGGCTATTGAGTGACCTGCTGTCCTATCTATTTCCCTGTTAACTGCCTTTCACCGGAGATGAACTCTCTGCTAATGCAGATGGTCACAGCTGGATGTAGGATGCTAGTGAGTGTGTAATGGCACTGGCAACTGTTTTTTCACATGCAGCCTCCATCACAAAGGTCTCATTCTTGCCTCTGTAAGGCCCTTTGAGACCCTGCGTATGGCAAGTGCAGGAAGATCTACCGCTATTGACATACTGTAGTTTGTGATGAAGTCTGTAATCTGTAGCTGGCCACCAAACCTTTCCTTGCTCAGAGCTGGATGAATTGTGTAGTCTCCATGAAATGCCTCTCTTTTTGAACTGCTCTTGTAATCCAAAATAGCCATAGATGACAAGCATTCTATACTTTGTGAAAGGGGTTTTTAACAACATAGAAACCTACACAATGCTCCCTCCAGTCCTCGGAGGAGAGGGAAGTGGGAGTGTTTGTATTTCACTGGGGCTCAGCCTTCACAGACCAACATGTGGGACCACAGAAAAGTGGAGAGATTCAAATCCAGTGGGGTTCATTTCCTGAGCATCCATAAATTCCCATGATTCAGCTTTTCAAAGATTTAGTCTACTAAGGAGAAGAGTTAGAAGGAGCTTTGTTGAAACATGGGCTTAAGACCATGAAAACTGGTGATTCCCCCATAATGTTTAGCCCATAATGTGATAGGGCCACTCCATGAAATGTAATGTCACCTAAATTTATAATAAATGCTCTTTCACACAGTGGGTGATCAGCCTATGGAATTTCACTGTTGCAGGAGGTCACCAGTTTAAATACTGTGGCTGGATTTAGAAAGGAGCTAGTAAATTTTATTAACCTCTATTTGTTAACAGAGGTGATCAAATCAAAAGCTATGAGGCAACATTTGATTGGCACAGAGGTCAGGAAAGAAGCTTTTCCTTCATGAATGGCACTGCATGTCCATTATGATGGAGTTCCCTTGGTCTGAATCATTGGATATGGTCCTGCCAGAGGCAGGATACAGAAGCCCAAAGGATGTAGAATTTCAGGCTAGATGGACCTCAGTCAGGGCCAGATTAACTCTCCTGTGGGCCCAGGGATATTAGATTTTGTGGGGCCCCTGTATACAAGTCTTTTTCCTGGGAAGGAGTTTGGTGCAGAAGGGGACTGGGGCAGGGGATTGGGGTGCAGGAGGGGGTGCGGGGTCTGGGAGGGAGTTTGGTGCAGGAGGGGGCTGGGGCGGGGGACTGGGGTGAAGGAGGGGATGCAGGTTCTGGGAGGGAGTTTGGTGCAGGAGGGGGTTCTGACCTGGGATAGGAGGTTGGGATGCGGGAGAGGGTGCAGGGTGAAGGCTCCGGTCATGAGGCGCTTACTATAGGTGGCTCCCGGCCGGTGGCACAGCAGGGCTCAGGCAGGCTGCCTGTCTGCCATAGCCCCATGCTGCTCCTGGAAGCGGCTGGCTGCTGGCACATCTCTGCTCACCCCTGGGGAGAGGGGGACAGCATTGGTGGAGAACCGGCCAATGGGAGCTGCGAGGACAATGCTGGGGGCGGGGGCAGTGTGCAGAGCCACCTCCCCCACCCCGCCCGCCGGGGGCTGCAGGGATGTGCCAGCAGCCAGCTGCTTCTGGGAGCGGCATGGGGCCAGGGCAGGCAGCCTGAGCACCCTGGAGATCACTGCTTGTGATTTATTTTTGTGGGGCCCCCCCCTTGAGCCCTGGGCTGCAGCCCCTAAAGCCCCTGCCTTAATCGGGCCTTGACCTCAGTTGGTAGGAGTGTAAGATACAGTACTAAAAGGACCAAAAGATCCACTCCAGTGACCCCAGCTTGACCCCTATGTTTAATTAAACACTAAGGCCCAGATCCTCACATGTATTTAGGAGCCTAATTCCCATTGATTTCAGTGGGAGTTAGGCATCTAAATACCTCTTAGGAGAGGATCTGGGCCCACGTTCTGAGCAGAGCTCAGGGCTGAAAGTGTGAATGAAGAGGAAGGGGAATTTGGAAATCGGTAATGAGGGTTCATACAGAGGACTAGTCTCTGCTGGTGCTGAACAAGTTAACATCCCTCAAAACTGCCAACCCCCCTCCCACCCCAAAGCAGAAGAGGGAATTGTGTTAGCTATTTAAGTACATCATTAATTTAGATAAGAGGCAGTGGCAACAGCTCAGGTGGTCTTAGTTGCTTTGTGGTCCCATCAATAGAAAAAGAGAAGCCAGCAACAGAAACTGAGAGAGAGAGAGAGAGGATGTGTGTCTGTGTTACCTGCCTAGCCACCTCAAATTTGAGTGGTGTTGCAACCTGGTGCATGGGGTCGCAACACCACTCAAATTTGGCCCAGCCACCCCTCTGTCATTCTAGCAGGGAAGAACTCCACTGTTATGACAGCTCTGGTCAAGTGCCAAAGGGCGCCTGGGCCCTCCTCCCTTGTTGCTCCCCTGTTGACAGCCTGGCTCACCAGCTTTCCTTCCTCCTCTCATACTTATCTTGGGTGACTTCAGTTTCCAGGCTGCTGCCTCGTCTGATGGCACGGCCCTTCACTTCTTCTCCCTTTCCCACATGGTTGACCAGTGACCTAGGGTCATCTGCCTTGGTGCCTCTCTCCACCTCACCATGCCACACACTGCTCATCTCTGATCTCTGGTAGCTGATTTCCCATCTCTGTTCACCATTTTATCTCCTTTAATGTTGTTCACCATCCCTTGCTGTCCTCCTCCCCATACCCTGTGCTCACAACCTGGGTATCATGTTCACTCACTTGCTCTCCTTTCCCCACACCGCCTGTTACCAAATCCAACTGGATCTTCCCTCACATCTCTGTAAACCCTGCAGAAGTCGCCATGTGCCTTTGTCCTGAAATGCAGCATGGGAAGCAACCGGCTGAATGGAGCCATAAGAAGGATTTAGTCAGGGAGCAGGGGAGTTGGGGAACCATCCATTTCTTCTGCCATTTGGTGGCCTTTAGAGGCAAGCAGAAGTGACATTCCAGTTCCCATTCTCAGCTAGGGTGACCAGACAGCAAATGTGAAAAATCGGGACCTGGGGTGGAGGGTAATAGGAGCCTATATAAGAAAAAGACCCCAAAAATCGGGACATCTGGTCACCCTATTCTCAGCCCCCACCCCCACCCCGGGGGGGAGAGGGTGACAGGGTGGCACCTGGGTGAGAGATGTCCCCTTTCTCCTGTTCCGCGCTCAAACAGGCGCAGAATACTTTGGATTGATGCCCATCCAAAGTATTCGGCTGGTCAGGATGTTGGGTGTCAGAAGCTTCTGTGGCAGTGGGAGCTGGGCAGTGGGGGAGGGAAGGACTTGTACCCTGACTCTTGTGAGTTCGAAATCCAAACCTTACGGTGGAACGAATGCTGGGCTGATGTTCTGAAATCCCCTGGTTTTTAAGAGGGGGGCAGGAAGGAGGAGCGGGAAGGATAACAGAGGAATCCAGAGCTATTGAGGCTGGATAGTTTCAAAAGTGGATCCCGTGAGCTCGGGCGAAGAGCACAAAGGAGCAGCTCCCTGTTGGGACTGGAAGCTCCCCCTTTCTCCGCCCCGCTGGCAGCCCCGGGGGGGAAGAGTAACATTAAAACCCAGGGGGCTCCCTTCACAGCAGAGATACAGAAAGCATGGGGGTCGGTGTCTGCGATGATTGACAAGAAAATAAGCCAATACAATGGCAAATACCAGCCTCGGGTGGGCCGGAGTCACTCAAGAACCAATGACATTGCGGACCTCTGCAGGGGTGGACTCCAATGTGCCGGGATGAAACCAATGAGTTCTCGGCGAGGCGGCAGTGAGGGCGGGGTTAGGGAACACGTTACCCAATGCGCTCTCTAATGGGCGGGGCTGGATGACTCCGAGGGGCGTGTCCCGGGGCAGGGTGCCGCTCGCGCTCAGGCGGACAGAGGCGGTGCTGAACCGGCAGAGCCGGCCTGAGCGCGGCGGCAGCAAGCGGGAATGGAGGAGCCGGAGCTGGGTGCGGGCTCCTCCCCGCGGCGCTTCACCTGGGAGGAGATCGGGCTCCGCACGGGCCGGGGGCACCCGCAGCAGGAGCGGTGGCTGGTGATCGACAGGAAAGTCTATGACATCAGCCAATTCTACCGGCGGCACCCGGGGGGCGCCCGAGTCATCAGTCACTACGCGGGGCAGGACGCCACGGTGAGGGCCGGGGCTGGAGGGTTCCCTTTATTCCCCGTGCAGCGCTGAGCCCCGCACTGACGCTGGGGCAGATGGCGAGCGGGTCATCGCGGGTGCTGATTTGGGGTCGCACTGTGCCTGTGCCCGCCTGGTGGTGCCAGCACACCGTGGGGAGTTTTTGTGTGTGGCAAGCATTAAAGAGTTGGGGAGATCAGCAGGGGCAGTGGGGATGGGAGGTGGCAGAGCCTGGGGGATGAGCTAATGGGAGAGGCAGTACTAGGCACAAGCTAAATGTTGTGTAAAGGGGAGAGCAAGAAGGGATTCAACTGCAGGGATTTTATTCTCTGTAGTGGGGGTGGAGAGCTGTAAGTTGGAAAAATCAAAGGGCTGTATCTAGAGGTAATGCCAGGAAATGAGAGGAATGGAGGGAGCAAATCAGGAGGAGGGAGCAGCATGGAGTGTGTATGGGGCACAGATGGTGGAACATCTGAGTTAGCCCAGTTCCAAAGGGCCACCTGCTCTTTGAAGCCCTGTTTATATGCTGATGATACTTCCACAGTTCTGTGAGCAGTACTACTCCCCACACAGAGATCCTGGTAAAGACCAGCAAGATGACTCTGTGGTCCAAGTTCTCCTATGTACCTGAGTGAGAGTCTGGGGAAGGGGCTTTCTGGAGCAGCTGTATGGTGATGGGAATCCGGAAAGTCTGTAGTAACTTAGACAGTGAGGGGAAGAAGAAAGGACAGGTTCTGTAGAACATGTGCCCCACTGGTGGCAAGGGGATGTGCTAATGGGAAGAGGGAAATAAGTAGTGGGATCTGCTTATTTCAGTTGAAGTGGTAGCTTGGCTTATTTGTTTAATTCTGATTGTGAATCAGAGTTTTTAAGCTGCAGTCTGAGGTAAAAAGCAGATCACAGTATGTTTAGCACTGGACTTACCATATATCTGCTAGCTGGAGGTTGATACAAAAGGTGAAGGGAAGGCCCCACCAGCAAAGTCCTGGTAGCATGTTGCTGAACATCTAGATTCAGCAGGGAAGAGATAATTTGGAGAGATGGGGGTTTCTTGTTTACCCCTTACAAGGGTATTGTTGTCAGTATTATCCTCAGCTCCGTCACTTAGGCCCCAATCTAGTAAAGCAATTAAGCATATGCTTATCTTTAAGCATGAAGTCAGCGGGATTGCTCACACACTTAAAATTAAGCACATGCTTAACTGCTTTGGTGGACTGGGTCTCTAAAGTGCATCTGCTTTCCAGGATTTTAGTTCTGATTTATTTTTTATATAGCAGTGTAGATGTACTTGGTATTTAGGTAACTGATGCTAAACAGAGACCAAAATCCCTACCCTGCTGAGCTTTCACTTTTAAAGCACAAGCTGACTTATGCCCATTATGCTTCATGAGATCACTTGTCTGTTCACTCCACATATGGTTTCTGGGGTTTACTTGCCAGCACATGGATGCCTACTTCGTTAAAGCATGGTACATATTTTTGCATGTATGCCCTGGCTGTGTGCACCCCAACTGTCAGTTGTCGCAAGCATAGGTGGGCGCAGCCCATTTCATTAGGGTGTGCACCCAGGGAGCCCCACCCTGCCCTAGCCCCACCCCCATCCTGCCCCCATCCACTCCCTCCTACTTCCTGCCCTCTGACTGCCCCCCTCAGAACCCCCAACCCCCCCTGCTCCTTGTCCCCTGACTACCACCTCCTGGGACCCCTGCCCTTAACAGCCCCCCAGAACCCCTCCCCCTATCTAAGCCTCCCTGCTCCTTGTCCCCTGACTGCTCCCCTAGGACCCTACCCCCTACCTGTCCCCTGACTGCCCTGACCCTTATCCACATCCCTGCCCCTAGACAGACCCCCCAGGACTGCCACGCCTATCCAACTGCTCCCCGCCCCCTGACAGGCCCCCTCCCGAACTCCTGACCCATACAACCCCCCCAGCTCCTTGTCCCCTGACCACCGCTTCCAAAGACACCCCCCCAATTGCCCCCCCAGGACCTTCATTGCTTCCTGTCCCCTGACTGCCCTGACCCCTATCCACCCCCTGCCCCCTGACAGACCGTGGGACTCCCATGCCCCATCCAACCCCCCCCTGCTCCCTGACTGCCCCCTCCAGAGACCCCCTGCCCCTAACCACCCCCCCAGGATCCCACCCCCTAGCCAACCTACCCTGCTCCCTGTCCCCTGATTGCCCCCGCCCCTTATCCAACCCCCCTGGCCCTGGACCCCTTACCATAAGATGAGGGTCCTAGCCTCCCCGCGGAGCCAAACACTGCCCCGCAGAAGCACGCAGCCCCAGCTCCACAGGTGGGATGGGAGACAGAGAGGCTCAGGCCAGCTCCACACAGAGTGGGGTCAGGGCTTCAGCCCTGCAACTTTTGCCACTAGGGTGGCTGGGGCTCCCAAGACGGGGACTTCAACCCCACATCTTCTGCCAGGGTCCAGGGCTTCTCCCTGCCCCAGTGTGGCTCCTCCGCCCCCCACTCCAGTGCAGGTCCTGCCAGGGTCCGGGCTTCTCTCCCCTCCCCCCCAGTGCAGCTCCTGCTCGGGTCCAGGCTTCTCCCGCCCCAGTGCAGCTCCTGTCGGGGTCCGGGCTTCTCCACCCCCTCCCCCCAGTGCAGCTCCTGCCCGGGTCCGGGCCTCCCCCCCCCCCCCCCCCCCCCCCCCCCCCCGCCCCCAGCCCCGTCTGGGGCTTCTCTTCCCCCACCCCTGCATGGCTCCTGCCGGTATCTGCAGCTTCTCCCACTGCACCCAGCCCTAGCCTAGCTGGGCTCCCTTGGGTCACCTGCTGCCTGCTGTGGCTGCAGTGGAGCCTGGCTGGCAGGGAGCAGCCATACACGTGGACTCCATGGCCACCAGCCCAAGAGGTGCAGGGCGGCCCTAGGTAAGCAGGGGCTGGCTGTGCTGCTGCTGATAGCCCCGCACTCCCGCCCACACCCAGGGCCGGCTCCTCTGTAGGTTCTTTTATTGTTTTAAAATACGTTCTCTCTGTAATGCTTTTCCCTTAAGAATTAAAGTGCTTGCTTAGAAAGAGCTGTATGGTAACTCATAACTGTTGGCAATTACCCTGTTATTAGTCTCTGAAGAGAAAGCAAAGCACAGACCCTGGCCTGTTGAGGCAGTCCGCCTTGCTGGGGAATAACACAGTGTAGGCAGGGAACTGTTCAGCCTGGAAATACCCTGTTCAGAAGGGAGAGAGAAACGGGTTTCCGCTCAAGAGAGGCAAGGCTGGGGAGCCAGAAGCCTAGCGTGGGATGCCCTTGCTGAACCATGTGGCGGGAATATGGGAGCAGTTGTCCTGAACTGTGACACACACAACAAGTGTTATGCTTTCTCATCTTCAGAGAGTAACTACAATTGGGTGAAACAGAACTGCTGACCTCTGAAGTAGCTGAGCTGGAGTGAATCCCAGCTTTTTTTGGATATTTCTATAGTGGAAATCCAAAATCAGACTCCTAGAAAAAACAAAAGCAAAGGAAAAGCACTTCCCCTTTAAATGTGTGGCTTGCTTCCTCAGTACCATGATTCCTAGAAGGTACATTAAAGCCCCATCACAATCCCCTACCCCCACCCTCCCTTGAGACTTTACTGCCAGGTTGTACAACCACCACTATAATGATTGGTCTAAACTTGTGGTACCACCGTCTCCTGGTCTGTCCATGTACAACCCCCTTATTCTCCCTCTTCCAATAGGAGAACAGAGATGAAAATACCCCTCTCTCTCTCCCCTGTTTAGGTAAGCCTGAGCTGAGAGGATGCCCTCTCCCCTTCCTGATTAAATACAACAAGGCTGAGCTGGAATTGGCTGCATCAGCCACATTTGAAAACTGTTCCTGGCTAGGTGCCATTTAAAGGGCCAGCACTTTCCAAAAGAACACAAAGCCATGTGGGCACGTGTGGTGCTGAGCAATGTACTAGAAACAAAGAAAACCAGGAGTGGGGGCAGGGATTCCCTTAAAAAGAGAAAGCAAAGTTAGTCCTGGGAAGACTGTAACTGCAATGCTAGGACAGGCACGGGGAGAGGAAATGTAACATGAGACAAAGTGGGAGACTTTCAATGGGAGTGAGGCACCAAACTAACACGTGTGCCCCCTCCAGTGGGTTTGGAATCTAAAGCAAGGTGGATTGTGAATATAGTGATACAGGTATATAAACCCTGACTTGCTTGGTTGGGGCCACGCTTTCCCAGAGAGAGCACAGGGAACATAAAACTGGTAAAAAAATCTGAGGAGTCCGATGGCACCGGACTCCTCGTTGTTTTTGTTGATACAGACTAACATGGCTACCCCTCTGATATAAGTGATTGTTAAGTGATTGACGATTTTCCCAAGTGACAAGAAGTCACTGATTTCCCTGGCAGGGCTCTCCCAAGCAGCGGTGCACAGGGGGGAGTCAGGAGCTTATTACACAGACTGTTCAGTAATGTTGGGGGAGGCACCTGAGGGAACCAAAGGCAGCTAGAGGGGGAGCAGTAGTAAGCAGCGAAACTGGGGGATGGGCCTGTGGGAGAGTGTCAGTGGGGACGAGCCTGGAACAGCCTGGGGGGTTTGTTTGCAGTGAGTGGCAGAAGTTGGGGGAACCTCCTAAACCAGGGGTAGGCAACCTATGGCACGCGTGCTGAAGGCAGCACATGAGCTGATTTTCAGTGGCACTCATGCTGCCCGGGTCCTGGCCACTGGTCTGGGGGGCTCTGCATTTTAATTTAATTTTAAATGAAGCTTCTTAAACATTTTTAAATCCTTATTTACTTTACAAACAACAATAGTTTAGTTATATATTATAGACTTATAGAAAGAGACCTTCTAAAAATGTTACAATGTATTACTGGCACGCAAAACCTTAAATTAGAGGGAATAAATGAAGACTTGGCACAGCACTTCTGAAAGGTTGCCGATCCCTGTCCTAAACCCTCCTTCTTCACCTGATTAACCTTTTCAATTCAGCCAGCCCAGTCCTGTCCCTACCCTCCAGTTGCCCCAGTCCCCAGCCTGTCTCCCCACTAGCTCCTGTACACCCATTCTGCAGGTCACTGAGGCAGCACTCTGCCTCCAGCCCTTTGCAGTGGATGAACCATGCTGGTTAGTCCAGTAGGGAGAGTGCAGAGCATCCAAATTAGCAATGCCCGTTGGAGATGTCACAGCAGTTCCTGTGATCAGGGGGAGCGACTGCAGCGTAAGCTTTGCTACCTGCCCTTAGCCCAGCTGGAAGTGTGGGAAGTGGAGGGAATGGGAGTAAATCATTGCTTGGAATGGTTAGAGGCACAGGAGAGGGGGAAATGGGGTATCAGAGAACCAGGTGGAGTACAGAAGAGGGCACATTGGTTCATATTTTGAAAGTGGAGGGGTTGGAGCCAGAAGAGGGAATGGCTGGTGTTGCACAAAAGGAGAGAAATGAGAGGAAACAGGAGGCAGAAGAGAATGGGGTCAAGGAGGCATGTTATGGGTTGGACAGGAAAAGAAAGACTTTTGATTCAGGAGTAAGGAGGAAGAGGGCCCAGATACCATGGTGACGTGCATTAGAAATATCTAGCTAGCAGAGAGCTCCTACTGCAAGGTATCTGTTTTGGCTTTGAAGAGATCGCCAAGGCGTTGGGCAGGGAAAGAAGAAGGGTCCGGCAGCTCCACCTGCCCCAATGTGTGATTTATTTCACCCCATTCTCTTGTCTGTGTTTCAGGATCCTTTCACAGCGTTCCACCTTGACAAGGCTCTGGTGAGAAAGTACATGAGCTCGCTGTTGATTGGGGAACTGGCATCGGATCAACCCAGCTTTGAGCCCAGCAAAAACGTGAGTGTCTTAAAAGTCGGATGTTGGGATGGGATTAGGGCAGCAGTGGGGATGTGCTGATATCCCTCATTTACTGGCAACCAGAACTCCCAGGAAATGGCAAATCACATTGCATCTTGGACTCATGCCTGTTTGAGGCTTCCCCTTGGTGTCCACCAATACCAGCCTAGAAAAACAGGGCCTATTGGTCACAGGTTCCCTCCTGTGTTACCGCAACACTCATCAGGCGGGGAGCAGAACATGTTAGCTACAGGCTCCCCTCAGTGATACAGACCTACTGACCAGGGGATCTCTTTGGTGTTCTAGTGACCCTCACCTGAGGGTGGGAGTGAGAAGGGCAGATCCAGTCAGCCATAGGCTCTCCCCGGTGTCACAGAGACCCTTTACCCACCCGAGGGTTATAGCATGTCAGCTGCATACTTTCCCTGATGTCACAGCTACTCCCTCTGAGGGGACCCCAGCTTTCCTCTGCTGCTGCAGTGACCCCTCTGGAGCTCCCAGGGCTCCTGAGGCTGCTGTCCTGCACACCCATGGGAGAGTGCTGAATGTTGGGTCTCCCTGCAGAAATTGCTGGTAGAGGACTTCCGCGAGCTGCGCACCACCGTCGAGAGGATGGGACTCCTCAACCCCAACCATCTCTTCTTCTTCCTGCTTCTCCTGCACATTCTGCTGCTGGATGCTGCCGCTTGGCTCACCATCTGGTACTTTGGATCATCCTTGCTGCCTTTCCTCTTCTCTGCATTACTGCTAGGCACCGTCCAGGTAAACTGCTCAGGGATCATCCTGTACGTCCACAAACTCAGGACCAATGATGTATCCCCGGGTGCCTCTGTCAGTACTTGTGATGCTCTTTTACTTGGTGAGCCAAGGAAAGATAAACTTGAAAATGCTTCAGGAATGCTGGGAGTGGGGGGGCTGAAAGCGACTGCATTTTTGGTCTCTCCCAGAAGGAGGCACTGTGAAGAGCAGTGTAGGAGTGGACATGGAGAGCTCACAGCTTCTCCATTCCTTGCCTGTCTTAACAGGAGGAGCTGGAGGGGAGGAGCAGTGGTTGTGGGAAGCTCCCAGCTATCTTAGACTCCGCCTCTCTTAGAAGGAGGTGCTGTTGGAAATACAGCAGAAGCTCTGGATGTGGCAGGTTCATGAGAATTACAGTCCCCTCCTTCCCAGGGTCTGGTTGAGGGGAGGGGATGCAGCTCCTCAATGCGTGCTTTTTGAGTAAGCGGAGTTAGAACTGGTATCCTATGTATCTCCTCTCCATAGTCTGCTAGAGCACTTCATTCATCCCGGACTTCTTGCTATAGCTGTACTTCTCTGCTCTGTTTTGTATGAACTTTGAGAGACACTAGGCAGTAGCCACGCCCTCCTTGTGTTCCCATGGGAACACGTAGTGCACTGGAGCTGAGGACATAGCAGCTATGAAAGCCCCAGCTGTTCCTCCTTTGCCCAGGTGGTCCCTCTGGAATTACAAACGCTCAGAGGAGACAGGCTTCTCCTCAAAGGCTACTTTGTTACGGCGCTCCACCCAGTTTGAAGAGAATAAATGCTCTGATTCTTAGTTCCATAGCCTTTTCTTCCTGGCCCCTCCTTCCCCACGTAAACAACTCTCCAGCGCTCTGTAACCTCACCCGGTCCAGGCTGGAGTCTAGTGGCTGTACAGTGAGGGAGCGATGTTTGGGATTGTGTGTGGAGAATGGAAATATCTCCTTGTGACCAGTACAGGGTGCTCTCACCTGCTTGAGGTGAACAGTCAGGAGAGCAGGAGCGTTGTTCCTACGACTGTATGTGTGGAGAATGAACACTGTTGCAGAAGCTCACTGAACTCTGGCTGTTTTCTCAGTGATTCCTTTTGTCTTCCAGGCTCAGGCTGGGTGGCTCCAGCACGATTTTGGGCACCTCTCGGTGTTCAGCAAATCCAAATGGAACCACTTGGTTCACAAGTTTGTGATTGGACATCTGAAGGTAAGTGTTCGGTGCTGAGAGCAATCGCCGGAGTTTCAACAGGACTCGTGAGCAAGGGAGCCCCACAGGTTCAAGAAGCCTCTCGTTCCCTAACTGTGACAGGGAGGGGAATGTGGTGCAGCTCTTGGGAAGGGGTGAGGAGTTGACTTATTTTTGGCAGCATTGAAGTTTGAATCCTCTGGTCTCATTTGTTCCTGCAGGGTGCGCCAGCCAGCTGGTGGAATCATCTGCACTTCCAGCACCATGCCAAACCCAACTGCTTCCGCAAGGACCCTGATGTTAACATGCACCCCTTATTTTTTGCTTTGGGAAAGACGCTGTCTGTGGAGGTGAGTCTGAGGGATGTCTGGGGGCAGGTTGGGTCACTGGAAGAATGCGGCATTAAAAGGATCCAAAATCAGGAAGCAACATAAAGTTGGGGAGAACACTAACTATCATGCAGAGCTGCAGAACAGCTGGGCTGCCTCTGTATTTCAGGCATTCAGGGAAGGAGTTGGGAGGAATGGACCTCTTGCTTAAAATCCAATTTCCTGTGAGAGAGGAAGAGGAAGTGAGAGATCATGGAGTGGCAGTAGCCTCCCTGTAGCTGTGGTTGCAACCAGCTTCCTTTTTTTTTTTTTGTCCTGGTATAACTTTGACTTGGAAAATTGGTTTAGCCTGAAAATGTCCAGCTTTTACTCTGGAGGCAAAAAAGAAAGTTCATTAAACTGCTTTTGAATCAGTATAAAAATTACCCAGATTTGAAATGTTGTCTTATATTAACATTACTTTCTCTTCCCCAACTCCAAACAACTTGTTACAACTTCTTTAAACTTTCCATACAGTTAAACTTCATTAAAAGTTGCTTTTTTTGCTATGTTTTCGAATGTGTTAAAGATTGCTTCATGATTATGAGTCAGTATTCATTTTCTTAGCTGAAGAAGAGCTATGATGAGATACGGATTTGGATACAAGTTGCTTGTTTTGTTAATTTTTAGATTAGCTTGGCTAATTTTAGTGCTCCAGGAAGTGAAACACCAGCTAGCATATAAAAGTGATTCAAGATTCCTATGCATTCAGCCAAAACACTAGCTAATTCAGTGCTGGACCCATGGGCCCACTGAAATCCGTGGGAATCTGTCAGTCAATTTCAGTGAGATTTGGAATTGGTCCCAGCTGGAGTGCAAATGCATCTCTGGTGTAACACTTCCAGAAATGGTTTTGACATTTGGGTTTTTTAAAACATGAACCCAAATGAATATAGTGACTGGCTCAGACTTTGATTTTTTCCCCCTGGAACTGAGGAATTGTTGGCCTACTCAGTGCAGGGAAGCAGTAAATTTGATATATCTGGACTTTAGTAATGCTTTTAACGCAGTCCCACCATGATATTCTCATAAGAAAATTAGGGAAATATGGTCTTGATGAAGTTACTATAAGATGGGCACAGAACTGGTTAAAAGACCGTTCTCAAAAAGTAGTTAGCAGTGGCTCATTGTTAAACTGGTAGGGCATATCCAGTGGGGTGCTGCAAAGGTCTGTACTGGTACTATTCAGTATTTTCATTAACGGCTGGGATAATGGCGTAGAGAGTATGCTTATAAAATTTGCAGATGACACCAAGCTGGGAGAGGTTGCAAGGTCCTTGGAGGTCAGGATTAGAATTCAAAATTATCTTGATGAATTGGAGAATTGGTCTGAAATCAGTAAGATGAAATTCAGTAAATACAAGTGCAAAGTACTATACTTAGGAAGGAAGAATTAAATGCACAAATACAAAATGAGAAATAAGTGGCTAGGCAGCAGTACTGGAGAAAAGGATCTGGAGGTTATAATGGATCTCAAATTGACTATGAGTCAACAGTGTGATGATGTTGGGAAAAAGGCAAATATAATTTTGGGATGTATTACCAGGAGTGTCATATGTAAGACTTGTGAGGTAAGTCTTCCACTCGGCTCAGCAATGGTGAGGCCTCAGTTGGAGTGTTGTGTCCTGATCTAGGCACCACACTTTGAGAAAGATGTAGACAAATTGGAGAGAGTCCAGAGGAGAGCAACAAAAATGACATGATGTTTAGAAAAATCTGACCTACGAAGAAAGGTTAAAAAAAACCATGGTCATGTGGAGTTTAAAGAAGAGAAGGCTGAGGGGGAGCATAAGTCTTCAAATGTGTTAAGGGCTGTTATGAAGAGGACAGAAATTAATTGTTCTCCGTGTCCTCCAAGGGTAGGACAAGAAGTAATCAGCTTAGTTTGCAGCAAGGGAGATTTAAGTTAGATATTAGGAAAAACTTTATAGTTAAGCACTGGAACAGATTACCCAAGAAGGTTGTGGAATCCCCATCATTGGAGGTTTTTAAGAACAGGTTAGGCAAACATCTGTCGGGGATGGTATAGGTACACTTGGTCCTGCATTAGCGTGAGGGGTTGGACTAGATGACCTGTCTAAGTTACTTCCAGCCTTATGTTTCTATGATTCTGCTTATGGCAGGGGTGGGCAAACTACGGCCCTCCAGATGTTTTAATCTGGTCCTTGAGGTCTCGCTGGGGAGCAGGGTCAGGGGTTTGCCCCACTCCGCGCGGCTCCTGGAAGCAGTGGCATGTCCCCCCTCCGGCTCCTACGTGTAGGGGCAGCCAGGGAGCTCTGCTTGCTGCCCCCACCCCAAGCGTGGCCCCCACAGCTCCCATTGGCCAGGAACCACAGCCAATGGGAGCTGCAGAGGCAGCGCCTGCAGATGGGGCAGCGCGTGGACAGGGCCGGCTCTAGGTTTTTTTGCCGCCCCAAGCAAAATTTTTTGGCTGCCCCCCTACCCCAGCCCTGGGCTCTCACCCCCCCCCACATCAGTGCCCTCCCCCACCCGCACCCCCTGCCGCCCCAGCCCTGGGCTCTCCCCCCACCAGTGCTGACTCCACCCGCTCCCCCCTCGCCTCCAGCCAGTCCGGCACTGGCAGGGTCGGGGTAAGCAGCGGGGCTCCCGGGCCGCGCCTCAGCCCAGGGTCCCTCTAGCCAGGGCTCCCGTCTCCAGGACCAGCGGGGACACGGGGGGGGGGCAGAGCTGGGGGACCACCCTGGCAGGGGGTTGAGGAGCCAGGGCAGGGTAGCCCCAGAGGGAGCGGAGCCCCGGAGAGTGGGACGTGGGCCCCGCACGGCAGCGCCCCGCCCTCTATGGCCCCGCTGCTGCTTCTGGCCGCCCTGCCACAGTCCTTGGGCGGCACGGGCCGCTTCATCCAGCCCCGGCTACGGTGCTGGGGGGTGACCGCCCTGCAGCACCTGCAGGCAGCTCCGTGTGCCCCGAGGGGTGGCCTCCAGCCCACGTGTCCCCCGTTTGGAGCCTGCCTGGCCCAGCCACAAGGTGAGGGTGCTGCTCCCCCGCGGCGTGAACCGCAACGGCCCCAGGGCACCCCCCAGCACCACGCGCTGCTGCTGCCAGGGCCGGCTCTAGGCTTTTGCCGCCCAAAGCAAAAAAAAAAAAATATGTCCGGAATGCCGCCCCTGAAAATGTGCCGCCCCAAGCACGTGCTTGGTTTGCTGGTGCCTACAGCCGGCCCTGCGCGCGGAGCTGCCTGGCCACGCCTCCGCATAGGAGCTGGAGTGGGGACACGCTGCTGCTTCTGGGAGCTGCTTGAGGTAAGCGCTGCCCGGAGCCTGCACCCTGACCCCCTCCCACGCCTCAACCCTCTGCCCCAGCCCTAATCCCCCTCCCGCCCTCCAAACCCCTCGGTCCCAGCCCGGAGCACCTTCCTGCATCCCCAGCCCCTCAGCCCCACCCCAGAGCCCACACCCCCGGCTGGAGCCCTCATCCCCTCCCGGACTCCAACCCACAATTTTGTGAGCATTCATGGCCCGCCATTCAATTCCTATACCCACATATGGCCCTTGGGCCAAAAAGTTTGCTCACTATTTGAGGATGGCAGTGATATGGTCTCACTTGTCTGTACGTAGGGCATTGAAAATCAAGTGTCTCCAAGATAGGAAAATCTATTCACCCTTGTTTCCATGGAGATGATCTACAGTCTAGGTGGTTATCTGTCTCTGCTTTGGAGACTAATCTGATATGGGTGGGTGTTCTAAACACTGCCACATATATTAATAGCATCGTGTTTTATTTTGGTTTCTGTATTTTTGCACAGCCTACAAATTATGCTTTGTACCGTATGCATTTTTCCAGTTGTAGGAACTGTATTAAGCAGCTGTACTAGAAGGTAGCCTGCCTGGATATTGCCAGCTTCTGCTACCAATAGCAAGTTACAGTGGAGAGTAAGGCCCCAGTCCAGCATGTGCTTAACTTTACGCAAATGAGTAGTCCCATTGGCTTCAACGGGACTACTCACATGAGTATTGTTGGAGGTGAAGATGAATCTATCCCAGATCCAGGACCCTGCTGCTCTCTGGTTTATTTCAGAGCATTACTGAAGGCAAAATTCAGCTACAGTTCAGTCTGTTGGCTTATCTGTATTATCCAGGTGATAAGCACTCTCTCGTGACCATGTGGAGGGAGTTTTTGTGCATGTCAGAGTGAAGGAAGCTTTCTGGATTCACATGGAGCCATTTTGCTGATTGTCATTCTTTCAGTGGAGGCAGGGTAGAGCAGAGTAGGACTGTCCGTCCCTTCTCTACAAAGGTGACAGCTCTAATCAGGGCCTGCTACAGATCTGTCTTACTAACTGAGAGAGACAAGGTGGGTGAGGTAATATCTTTTATTGGACCAACTTCTGTTGTTGAAAGAGAGAAGCTTTTGAGCTACACCAGAGCTCTTCTTCAGGTCCCTCTGTAGCTCGAAAGTGTGTCTCTTTCACCAATAGAAGCTGGTCCACTAAAAGATATTATCTCACCCATCTTGTCTCTCTAATATCCTGGGACCAACATGGCTGCAACAACACTGCAAACATTAATAACTTAGCATACACATCAGAACATTCCTGTTTTCTGAGCCCCAGTGGCTCTTGAGTTGAAAGATATGGATTGGGTGATGGTCAGGATCCTGGAGAGGTTTAGGTGTGTGTTGTCTCCCATCCTCGCTATCTTCTCCTCTTGGTTAACAGTCTGCTGTGAGTTAACCCTGAGAGCACAGGGGAACCTGAGCATATGGCCTGCTGTTGGGTGTATTATTCAGTAGTGAGTGCCACTATTTGTCTGTGTGACTCTTATCAGCTCTGTGGTCTCTTGAGAGGACTTGTGATAAGACAAAACCTTGGTAGTGGTCATAGTAATAAATGGAATCACGTTTGTGATGTGGTTCCAGCGCCCCCTACTGGGGCAGAGCTTGTTGTACAGGTCAGAATTCACATTTCAAGGGCCTTGACTAGACAGTTGTGCATCAGAGGCAGAGCGGGGAGGTGTCCCTTTAGAAGATATAAAATAGGGTGAAGTAATGCTGTGGGTGACCCAGGTATGAAGAGAACTGGCGGGTACCTGATACCACCTCTCACTGGGGAGGTATTTATGCAGACATTTCTCCTGATGGAGTTGGTAGGAGATTTGTGAGCCTCTCTCTCAGGGAGGGTGATGGAAGTGCTTGTATAAGTGTCTCTGTAGCCCAGGTAACCTGCCATGATCCCTTTTCCTTTCACAGCTCGGAATGAAGAAGAAGAAGTTCATGCCTTACAACCACCAGCACAAGTACTTCTTCATCAGTGAGTATCTCCACTCCCGTGCAGTACCAGCAATCATTAGTAGGAGCATTGCCAGCAGATTGAGGGAAATGATTATTCCCTTCTATTCGGCACTGGTGAGGCCACATCTGGAGTATTGCGTCCAGTTTTGGGCCCCCCACTACAGAAAGGATGTGGACAAATTGGAGAGAGTCCAGCAGAGGGCAGCAAAAAGGATTAGGGGGCTGGGGCACATGACTTCTGAGGAGAGGCTGAGGGAACTGGGCTTATTTAGTCTGCAGAAGAGAAGAGGGAGGGGAGATTTGATAGCAGCCTTCAACTACCTGAAGGGGGGTTCCAAAGAGGATGGAGCTCGGCTGTTCTCAGTGGTGGCAGATGACAGAACAAGGAGCAATGGTCTCAAGTTGCAGTGGGGGAGGTTTAGGTTGGATATTAGGAAAAACTATTTCACTAGGAGGGTGGTGAAGCACTGGAGTAGATTACCTAGGGAGGTTTTTAAGGCCCGGCTTGGCAAAGCCCTGGCTGGGATGATTTAATTGGGGTTGGTCCTGCTTTGAGCAGGGGGTTGGACTAGATGACCTCCTGAGGTCTCTTCCAACCCTAATCTTCTATGATTCTATGAATCACCAGAACCCTCCGAATTAATTCCTTTGGAATATGATTACCTGCTTCATGTCTTTGTATTCTCCTTTTCTCTCCTCTAGTTGGACCCCCAGCCCTGGTGCCTCTCTACTTCCAGTGGTACATATTCTACTTCGCAGTGCAGCGCAGACAGTGGGTGGTGAGTATGTCCAGCTTTGCCAGACCCTGCGGTGCCTCCCCCTAGTTTTCTGAATAAAGTTTGGTGTGGGGAGTTGGGACTGAAATGTCAGAGGGAGGAGTCCTGAGTGTGGAGTGGCTGGTCACCATGTCTCACTGTGATACAGTGGATGGGTGTATGACTGGTGCCGAATCCTTTGACAGAAGAGCAGAGTGGTTGTCTTCCTCCTAATGCATGTGTTTCTCAGTGTGTGAGGGACCAGCTTCTGCTCTGGTAACAAAGGGAGCTGCCTGGACTCTGCTGCTGTGCAGGGATGGTCGTCAGTCAGCAAGGGTTTCTGGGGCTTTCCCCTCATGTTGTGGGGTTGGTGCAGCTCTATGGAGCCTGACCATCAAATGGCACATGTGGCTGGTTTTGGGCAGGAAGGGAGACAGTACTTACCCTTCTGTGGCTGCCTGAGGGGGAAAACCATTGAAAGCTGAGGGGAGCGGGAAGGAAAGCTGTAGAAATGAGAGGGGCTGAGAATGGAATTCAATGCCTCATCTTTCTGGGACAACTACATTTAAAAAAAAAAGTCAATTTTTCTCTTTGTGGGGAAGGCCCCTTTCTCCTAGTTCCGCCACCCAGTTTCAGTGGTGGAGTCTCCAGGCTCCTGCTCTACAGCCCAGCATGAGAGAGCACCCAGAGCAGCGCCAGGCTTCTGTAGCAAAGATCTGGCTGCATCTGCCACTTCTCCCTGCCCCCAGAAGCTCTCTTGTTATCCCCCCTTTACACTGTTCGGGCTTCCCAATGGCCTAGAACCCAGTCCTCCAGCAGCACAGAGTGGACTGGGCAAAGAAGAATATGGGGGGGATTCAGGGGCATGGTGGGGGGTATGCTGGGACAAGGAGGGATAATAGGGGTTGGGAGGCAAATGCAGAAAAGGAAGAGCTCTCACCTGAGATTTAGACGCAAGGGGGTCTTGACTGGGGAGAGAAGCAACTGAGAGAGGATTATTGCAGGAAAGAGAGTAAGTACCAGAGAAAAGCCCACAGGAAAGTGAAGAGGAACAAGGAATGGTGGGAGGGAAATGAGGCAGAACTAAGCTGTCTATAGCTTCTCCTGCTTTTCCCCTTCCACTTCCTGAGTCTCTCCTTTCTGCCCTCATTGCCCATTCTGGCTTCAGAGGTAAACGAGATATGTGCGCCTTCTTTTGGCCCATGGCCCAGGTCAGGCTGATTATGTGCCAGGGAGTGAAGGGGAGCTAAAGCATGTGGACAGGAAGGGGGGAGGAGGGTGTCTTCAGGGCTGTATTTCAGATGGTGCATGCTAGGGGAGGGGAGGGAGATAAAGACTGGGAATTATAGTGGTGGTTTCTGGGGGTACCAGTGCAGGGCAGTGGGCAGGAGCTGTAATCTACACCCTCGATGCAGGTTTCTCTCTGTCTCCTCTCTGGCAGGACCTGGCCTGGATGCTGACCTTCTACATCCGATTCTTCCTCACCTACTCGCCATTACTGGGGGCGAAAGGGCTCCTGGGGCTCTTTCTTCTGGTCAGGTATCACTCACCCTGCTACCCCCTATGGCTGCTTCAGCTCATAGCTGTTTCTTATAAATCCCCCTGCTCTGCCCTTCCCTAGCCTCTAGCCACCCTGCCCATCTCTCCTTTTCCTATCTACCCCCTAATCTTCTGCCCATTCTGACTTTCTATGAGCTGACAGGGGAGATTATTTTCCCTGTGTTGTCATCACCTGTATGGGCCTTTTGCTGTCCGGTTGGTTGGATTTCATGGTAGAGATTTCATCAAGCAGTAACTGCTTTGACCCAGGACGAGTGCTTGTTCCTGGGCTGTCACAGGCTTAGGTGGGCATGAGGTGAGTGACTGCTTTGTGTGTGTTTGTCTGCACAGGCTCATAGAGAGTAACTGGTTTGTCTGGGTGACGCAAATGAACCACATCCCCATGCACATCGATTACGATAAGAACGTGGACTGGTTCTCTACTCAGGTATGACCCTTTCCTTCCCCGGGAGCTGTGGGCCGGTGGTGTAAATTCCAGACCAGATGGCACTTTGTCATAGATGCTAGGGGTCAGCAGTGAGCCCATAGAGTGTTACAAAATTCAGTAGGGAAAGGCCTTGTGAGCACTCTGAAATTTGTGGTAATGGGGTGGGAGTCTGCACTCATTGGGGGTGACATGGTTACTGCAGGGTGATCTGGGGTTTTGCCTTGAAGCTCTCCCAGTGCAAGATGCTCCTATGTCCTTCTCTCTTCTTGTGTCTTGACCCTGTGCCTATTTCTGTAAGGGTGAGGAGGTCTCCACAGAGGACAGTCAGGGCAGATTTGGCCTAATCCTGCTGGTGAGACCAGCTCTGTATTGGTTAGGACTATGATCCCATATCCCAGAATAACAACAAGGAGTCTGGTGGCACCTTAAAGACTAACAGATTTATTAGGGCATAAGCTTTTGTGGGTAAAAACCTCACTTCTTCAGATGCATAGAGTGAACGTTACAGATGCAGGCATTATATACTGACACATGGAGAGCAGGGAGTTACTTCGCAAGTGGAGAACCAGTGTTGACAGGGCCAATTCAATCAGGGTGGATGTAGTCCACTCCCAATAATAGATGAGGAGGTGTCAATTCCAGGAGAGGAAAAGCTGCTTCTGTAATGAGCCAGCCACTCCCAGTCCCTGTTCAAGCCCAGATTAATGGTGTTAAATTTGCAAATGAATTTTAGTTCTGCTGTTTCTCTTTGAAGTCTGTTTCTGAAGTTTTTTTGTTCAATGATAGTGACTTTTAAATCTGACCAGGGAGATTGAAGTGTTCACTTACTGGCTTTTGTATGTTACCATTCCTGATGTCCGATTTGTGTCCATTTATTCTTTTGCGGAGGGACTGTCCGGTTTGGCCAATGTATGTGGCAGAGGGGCATTGCTGGCCCATGATTCCATATATAACATTAGTAGATGTGCAGGTGAATGAGCCCTTGATGGTGTGGCTGATGTGGTTGGGTCCTCTGATGGTGTCGCCAGAGTAGATATGGGGACAGAGTAGGCAATGAGGTTTGCTACAGGGATTGGTTCCTGGGTTGGTGTTTCTGTGGTGTGGTGTGTAGTTGCTGGTGAGTATTTGCTTCAGGTTGGGGGGTTGTCTGTAAGCGAGGACTGGCCTGCCTCCCAAGGTCTGTGAGAGTGAGGGATCATTTTCCAGGATAGGTTGTAGATCGTGGATAATGTGCTGGAGAGGTTTTAGCTGGGGGCTGCATGTGATGGCCAGTGGTGTTCTGTTATTGTCCTTGTTGGGCCTGTCCTGCAGTAGGTGATTTCTGGGTACCCGTCTTGCTCTGTCAATCTGTTTCCTCACTTCCCCAGGTGGGTATTGTAGTTTTAAGAATGCTTGATAAAGATCTTATAGGTGTTTGTCTCTGTCTGAGGGGTTGGAGCAAATTTTGTTGTATCTTAGGGCTTGGCTGTAGACAATGGATCATGTGATGTGTCTTGGATGGAAGCTGGAGGCATGTAGGTACGTATAACGGTCAGTAGGTTTCCGGTATAGGGTGGTGTTTATGTGACCATCACTTATTTGCACTGTAGTGTCCAGGAAGTGGATCTCTTGTGTGGACTGGTCCAGGCTGAGGTTGATGGTGGGGTGGAAATTGTTGAAGTCCAGGTTAGTCTCAACACGGCTACCCCCTGATACTTGACATCATGCAAGGCACTAAATTTAGCCGTATGGAGTGGAAATCCATCAACTTCAACAAAAAACTTGCACAGATACTGACAGACATCATCTTCCTCTCCAAATGCAAACAGATGGACATCATACCAAATGGACTGAAGGTAAAAAATCCATTGCAATCAACATACTACACTGACTATGGTGAGAGACTGTGCCACACACTGTCAAAGAAACTGAGGAACCACCTGATCAGCATCCTGTACAGCAGACAGGAGAAGATCAAGAATGAGCTCTCAAAACTGGAGACTCTCATACAATACCAACCTTCCACACAAACTTCCACGTGGCTGGACTTTACAAAAACGAGACAAGCCATTTACAATGCACACTTCACTTCTCTACAGAGGAAAAAGGACAGTAAGCTATCTAAACTCCTACCTGCCACAGGAGGCTACAACAGTGGTACCCTCAACTCATCTAACAACATTGTCAATCTTTCCAACCACACACTTAGCCCAGCAGAAGAGTCTGTCCTGTCTCGGGGACTCTCTTTCTGTCACACCATCCCCATGAACACGATACAGTTCTGCGGTGATCTGGAAGCCTACTTTCGTCGTCTCCTACTCAAGGAATATTTTCAACACACCACTGAACAGTGCACTGACCCATAGGAACCCTCCTACCAACACTACAAGAAGAAGAACTCTGCGTGGACTCCTCCTGACGGTCGAAATGACAGACTGGACCTCTACATAGAGTGCTTCCGCAGACGTGCACAGGCTGAAATTGTGGACAAACAAAATCACTTGTCCCATAACCTCAGCCGTACAGAATGCAATGCCATCCACAGCCTCAGAAACAACTCTGACATTATCATCAAAGGGGCTGACAAAGGAGGTGCTGTAGTCATAATGAACAGGTCGGATTATGAACAGGAGGCTGCCAGGCAACTCTCCAAGACCACATTCTACAGGCCACTATCCTCTGATCCCACTGAGGAATACCAAAAGAAACTACACCATCTGCTCAAGAAATTCCCAGCAACAGTACGGGAACAAATCTACATGGACACCCCCCCAGAACCCCGACCAGGGGTATTCTATCTGCTACCCAAGATCCATAAACCCGGAAACCCTGGACGCCCCATCATCTCAGGCATTGGCACTCTTACAGCAGGATTATCTGGCTATTTGGACTCTCTCCTCAGACCCTAAGCTACCAGCACTCCCAGCTATCTTCGAGACATCACCGACTTCCTGAGGAAACTACAATGCATTGGGTTCTCCCTGAAAACACCATCCTGGCCACCATGGATGTAGAAGCACTTTACACCAATATTCCACATGAGGATGGACTACAAGCTGTCAGGAACAGTATCCCTGATGAGTCCACAGCATGCCTGGTGGCTGAGCTTTGTGACTTTGTCCTCACCCACAACCACTTCAGATTTGGGGACAACTTATACCTTCAAGTCAGTGGCACTGCTATGGGTACCCGCATGGCCCCACAGTATGCCAACATTTTTATGGCTGACTTAGAACAACGCTTCCTCAGCTCTCGTCCCCTAGTGCCCCTCCTCTACTTGTGCTACATTGATGACATCTTCATCATATGGACCCACGGAAAGGAGGCCCTTGAAGAATTCCACCTGGACGTCAACAATTTCCACCCCACCATCAACCTCAGCCTGGACCAGTCCACACAAGAGATCCATTTCCTAGACACTACTGTGCTAATAAGTGATGGTCACATAAACACCACCCTATACCGGAAACCTACTGACCGTTATACGTACCTACATGCCTCCAGCTTCCATCCAAGACACATCACATGATCCATTGTCTACAGCCAAGCCCTAAGATACAACAAAATTTGCTCCAACCCCTCAGACAGAGACAAACACCTATAAGATCTTTATCAAGCATTCTTAAAACTACAATACCCACCTGGGGAAGTGAGGAAACAGATTGACAGAGCAAGACGGGTACCCAGAAATCACCTACTGCAGGACAGGCCCAACAAGGACAATAACAGAACACCACTGGCCATCACATGCAGCCCCCAGCTAAAACCTCTCCAGCACATTATCCACGATCTACAACCTATCCTGGAAAATGATCCCTCACTCTCACAGACCTTGGGAGGCAGGCCAGTCCTCGCTTACAGACAACTCCCCAACCTGAAGCAAATACTCACCAGCAACTACACACCACACCACAGAAACACCAACCCAGGAACCAATCCCTGTAGCAAACCTCATTGCCTACTCTGTCCCCATATCTACTCTGGCGACACCATCAGAGGACCCAACCACATCAGCCACACCATCAAGGGCTCATTCACCTGCACATCTACTAATGTTATATATGGAATCATGGGCCAGCAATGCCCCTCTGCCACATACATTGGCCAAACCGGACAGTCCCTCCGCAAAAGAATAAATGGACACAAATCGGACATCAGGAATGGTAACATACAAAAGCCAGTAAGTGAACACTTCAATCTCCCTGGTCAGATTTAAAAGTCACTATCATTGAACAAAAAAACTTCAGAAACAGACTTCAAAGAGAAACAGCAGAACTAAAATTCATTTGCAAATTTAACACCATTAATCTGGGCTTGAACAGGGACTGGGAGTGGCTGGCTCATTACAGAAGCAGCTTTTCCTCTCCTGGAATTGACACCTCCTCATCTATTATTGGGAGTGGACTACATCCACCCTGATTGAATTGGCCCTGTCAACACTGGTTCTCCACTTGCGAAGTAACTCCCTGCTCTCCATGTGTCAGTATATAATGCCTGCATCTGTAACGTTCACTCTATGCATCTGAAGAAGTGAGGTTTTTACCCACAAAAGCTTATGCCCTAATAAATCTGTTAGTCTTTAAGGTGTCACCAGACTCCTTGTTGTTTTTGTAGATACAGACTAACACGGATATCCCAGAATGGCATTCTCACCCAGGGCTGGTCTCACTGTCCTCAGGAGTGAGAGCTGTCATCCCCATCCTCAGATGAATCTGTTCAGGCTAGAGGAGAGTGAGGATGAGAAGGTGGCACCAGGTTATACCGCTGTCCAGGCAAATGAGAGATGAGCATTCATGGAACAACACTCACTGCTCCCCTTCCTCCCCCAGCTCCAGGCAACGTGTAATGTTCACCAGTCTCTGTTCAATGACTGGTTTAGCGGGCACCTGAACTTACAGATCGAACACCAGTGAGTATGGGCGCAGGGATGAGGGAAGGAATCTTAAGGAACACCAGTCACTGTGGGCACCAGGGGAGGGCAAGGGACCCTGTGTGGCATCAGTGAAAACAGGCACAAAGGAAAGGGCAGGAAATCTATGGGGTACAAAACATGGAGGAGGAGTGGGAACTGTATTGGGCACCAGATGGAAAGGCAGGAACTCTCTGGGGCACCAATGACTACACCCATTGAGGGAGATTTAAAAGTCACTATCTTGGAATGGGAACCAGATGGGGTATCAGTGAGTACAGGCACTGAATATAGTGAGAAGTGAACACTATAGGGCACTAATTGATTCTAGACTGAAGGTGAGAATAAGGCACCTGTAAGGTTGGCTCCTTGAGGGGGAGGCAGGAAGCCTGTGAAGCACTAAGTGAGAGACCAGCTCTCCTGCAGGCTTAAACTAGTGTAAATGGTGGATTCTCTGTAATTTGAAGTCTTTAAAATATGATTTGAGGACTTCAGTAACTCAGCCAGAGGTTGTGGGTCTGTTACAGGGGTGGGGTGGAGTGAGGTTCTGTGGCCTGCAATGTGCAGGAGGTCAGACTAGATGATCATGATGGTCCCTTCTGGCCTTAAAGTCTATGAGTCTATGAGATCTCACTGAATCAGCCCCCTTCTCTCTCCACAGCCTTTTCCCCACAATGCCTCGACACAACTACTGGAAGGTGGCCCCCCTCGTGAAGTCCCTGTGTGCCAAGCATGGCATCGAGTACCAGTCCAAGCCCCTGTTCACTGCCTTTGCAGACATTGTGCAGTAGGTATCAGTCAATGTAAAAATGTTGTGCAGTAGCCTTTGACAAGATGGGGACACTGGGCCTTGTGGGAAGACAGGTCCGCTAGGGATGTGGGGTGGGAGGGCCGCAGCTGAAACAGAAGAGATGTAGTAGAAATAGGATTGGATGGTTCACGGGACTGAGAATGGGATATGGACCTTTTTATATCTAGCCACTGGTTTCAGTCAGTTGCAGATAGCTAGTGTGGACATTCTAATGGAGAACACTCTACCAGCAGCCTCTTCTCCCACCTCAGGTGCCTCCCTTACTGTCACTCTAGGATTATGTCAGGGTGGGAATCTCCTAGACAGGTCTGTTCCAAGCCTCATTCATTCCATCTTTGTCTTTTTGTAGCCCTTATTTGTGGACTTGAAACCTTACCTGACCATGTCTTCTCCTTTGCTTGCCTCCGTCCTTTTTGTCTCCTGTTGGGTTGTTTAAGCCTCGGATCATACAGCAGTCCTTTGTGACTCCATAGGGACTTGTCCTATGCCTTTCCCAGGATCTGTAGCCTGAATCGTTGTGTCTTTGAAGATCTCCCTGATGTGTTCGAGACAAGGGATTTGAATATTACACTAGATTTCATCGCCCCCCACCTCAAATTTGCTTTATTGATCTTTACTCTCACTGTGCTGCCACATTTCATCATTTGTTTCTAAACTAATCAGACTCTCTCTCTCTATCCGTGCAGCTCTCTGAAGGATTCGGGGGAGCTCTGGCTCGATGCCTATCTACATAAATAAGCAGCAGCAGCTCCAAACAGAGGTATTCCCCACCCTCGCTGCCTCCCAGGGTGGTCACCATGAAGACACAGGACAAAGAGCTGGCTGAGCCAGGGGTGTGGAGCTGGGCAAGCTTAATTCCAGTAATGAGTGTGGGGTTTTTTAAAGATGTTTGTTCTTAGTCCTTCTCATGCTTCTCCTACTCCTCCTTTTTTGGGACTGAATAATAGAGAGGATCAGAATGGAGGAGACCACCCGCCAGGAAGGAGGAGGAGCCTGTAGGTCTGGGAATTAACACCCTTCTGTCTGGTGACATTTCACTTGCTGTGTCTGTAGGAGAGAAACCTTTTATCTAACATAGATATTTCTGAGATGCCTGGCAGCTTGCTCCCCCCGCTCTGCTCCTTCCCCATGTGAAAGAATCAAGGAAGTTGGGACAGTCTGAGAGCACTGAAGTTAGAAGTTGGGGTGGTGGGAAGAGGGAGAAATAAGGAGAAATGTAAGTGTGGAAAAGAGAAGAAACTGTGTAGGTGCTATGTTGTTAAACATCATTGTACATTTAAGAATGGTAAACCAAGTGCCCAAACCTTGGGGGAGTGGGGTAGAGAAGAAAGGCCAAACCACCAGGCAAGGGCTTAGACTACTTTGTAGGATGAGTGTGAGAAGAGAAAGACCAAACCACAGTGCAGGCACTGGTGGGATGCCGGAGCTGTTCCCTAGATGTGGGGTGCTTGGCATGCTGTGTCTAATGGGAGTGCTGCTACATATATGCATTGAGTGCTTTTTTTTTTTTTTTTTTGTAGAGGTAGGACAGTGAGCCCCTGGATCTCTGGGTTAATTATCATATTGCAACTTCCACTGGAGATGGCATGAGTAGCTTCCACAGTGCCATACCCTAAAAGTGAAAGAGTTGATGGACCAGTTACTGATACTCTAAAAAGATAGACATTAATGCAAGGGGAACCTCTAGTCCCCCCAGATTAGCTGCTACAGTGCCCCCAGCAATTTAGATTAGGAAGAAGAATGTATAACCAATCCATCGCTCCTTGGGAGTGTACTCTCATTATACTGCACCCTTTGGCTACTGAGGACTTTGTAAATAGGGAGAAAACTCAGGATTTTTTGCATATGAAGCACAGGATGGTCCCATGTGAGCTACAGGCAAATCTTCTTCCACTGTTGAGGCAATAGGGTTCAGGACTCCACTTGAACATGTCTAACATTCCAGCCAGCAGAAGGCTGTGGGGGACACGCATTGCACAAACACAGGCCAGTATGTTGTGCCTCTGGTTCTCTATGGGTAAGTATGTCTACACTGCAATAAAAAACCCACAGCACTGAGTCAGCTGACTTGGGCGGGGGGCTTGGGCTGTGGGGCTAAAAATAGCAGTATAGATGTTCGGGATCAGGTGAGAGCCCAGGTTCCAAGACCCTCCCTGCAAGCCCTATGCCATGGGTCTTTGATTGCTGTGTAGACGTACCCTATTAGGTAATGTGCCTTCAAGACATGCTCTGAAAGGGTATGCGCTTCACTGTAACACTGCCAGAGTATGGCGTTTGCCAACGCTACCTACAAGGCCAAACAGCCCAACTGCCAAAGTAAATGTAGCACGTAGCATGACCTTTCTAAAGGCTACAGTTTGATCACTCGCACCCACCCTACCCCCATCACTTCTTTGTGTTTGAGCCTCCCCTCTCCAGGTTTTGGGTCCAACCTCTTTCCTTCTCTCTCTGGGGTTCTTAAATGGACTAGTGTGACACGAGGACTCTCCCCATCTTCCCTGCCCTCCCCTCACTCCTCCTGCAGCCAGCCAGCATCATGACAACTTTTCCCAACTAAGGTAATGGGTGATTCAGGCCATGACTACACCACAGACTTCTGCTGGCACAGCTGTGTCAGAGGCAAGAAGAGGGGTGATCTCTGACCAGCACAACTGTGCCAGCAAAGCCCCTAGTGCAGACACAGCTATACCAGCAAAACTGTGCTTTTCCTTAGATAGCTGGTTTTGTCTGAGGGAGGAGGGTGGGGCTGGAATAAGCTATGCCATTACAAAGCATAGTTTTGTTGGTATAGCTGTATCCACACATGGCAAGCTTTGCCAGTAGAGTATTCCGCTGTGTGTCATTATGCCATCAAAGTCCTCCTAGTGTAGACATGGCCATAGTATCTAAAGGGGATTGGGAAAGAAATGTAACTTCCCCTCTCAGGCCACCATCCAAAAGGTTGGAGGGCCTGTGAAGCAGGCGGTGTCACCTCACCCTCGACAGCGGCTGGGATGGGAATTCATTTTTGTTTAATGGAAATAATTAAATTGCCATTAAATCATAGGTCCGGAGTGTTGAATAAAGAGTGTAAATTAAATGAAATCCTCCGAGCTCCTGTGGTTGTTTTCCCCTGTTCTGTCCCTTTTCTTTTCATCGTTTTCTTTCATGTGGGGGATTAGTAAGGAAACCCCCTGCCTTCCCCAATCCCTTCCATCATAAGAGTAAATCTCATCTGTGCAGGAAACATGGCTTTCTGGGGGCTGGTCTGCAACTGTTGAGTAAGCTCCTGCAGGCGCTAAGGACCATCACAAACCTTGCTACCTTCTGCTCCAAGTTCAAGGCGCACTTCTTCAACCTGGCCCTCACTAGCATAAACACAGAGCAGCAGGTACATTTTACACAACCAACAAACCCTACCAGAACAAAACTCTACACACCAATGTCTCCCTGGGGTGAGGATGAGAGGGAAACCAGATCACACCTGACAGAATTTAGTCACATCCCTGAATGCATACCTCGTAGGTGCTGAGATAATCTGGAGGTGAGGGCAGGATAAGAACCTATAAAGGAATCTTTAGGGGAACAACTATTTGTCCATGCTGCAGCAGCAGTGAGAATGGCTGTTCTACCCTGATCATCTACTCCCTGGCCAGGTTCTCAGGATCTGGAAGAATCCTCACATGTTTGTGAAGGGAGTTCTCTCATCTGTTGGGCGGTTTACCCAGCGGAGGCTCTCTTCCCACCTTAAATCATTTCAGGACAGAATTATATTTCACCTTGTGATGGGTTGCTCCCATTCAAAATGCCACCTGATGTTCTGAGATACCACTGAGCCTGCCTGTTCTGCCAGCCTGGGCCCCCTTTACCCTGTCTTGCTGAGCCAGGCTCTTAAGCCTCCTCTAGCACACACACAGGCAGGGTCACACCCAGCTGCAGAAAGACACAGACACTGAGATCAGCTCTGGGAAGACTCAGTTTAAGGGACTCGCCCCAGCACTCAGGTGCCCACCTCCCTTGGAGTACAGACCAAAGGTATATTGTCTTGCACTGTATAGAAGAATCTGCACAGCGCAAGCTCATAAAAATTCGCCCTCTTCCTCAATGTGAAGAAAGATATGCACAGCTTCTTGCCCCCTCTCCCCCAGATATGAATTGCACAAACTGGGTAATGTTACAAGCAAAGCAAATTTATTAACTATAAAAGGCAGATTTTAAGTGGTTAAAGGGATAGCCAACAGAATAAAGCAGATTACTAAGCAAATAAAACAAAACCACAAACTAAGCTTGATTCACTAAAGAAGCAGGTTACAGAATGTAATTTCTCACCCTAAATGTTGAATTAGGCAGGATGGAGAGTTTCTTTAGCTCAGAGTTCCGGTTATTTCTTCTTAGACTGGACCCCTGTCTCAGTCTGGACTCTTCCCGCCTTTCCCTTCAAGTTGGTTCCTTTGTCCCTTCAGGTACTTTCAGCAGCCTTTCTTCTTGGGTAGGCAATGGAGGAGAGTCCCGTTTGCTTTCCTCCCTACTCTTAAATAAGATTTACATATGGCGGGAATCCTTTGTTTGATTCCCATCCCCCTACAGAGGAAAAATGCCAGGAGTGTCCAAGGTGGTATTTTGTATCAGGTGACAGGGCCACCTGACCTGGTAGTGTCAGAGCTATGTCCCAGGATGCCTCCCAGGAGGGAGAGAGATTAGTATCTTCACAGTCTTGTTGTTTCTTCCTAATGGCTCATCAAAGCTGATGGCCTGTTGTCTGGTGGATGTCTTCCCGATACACGCCCAGTTGTAATTGTTACATAGTCCATATTCCTAACTTTAGATACAGAAATGATACATGCATACAAATTGGATAATCACATTCAGTAAATCATAACCTTTCCAATAAGTTACATGAGCCATCTTGCATAAAGTATATCTCAGTTATGCCATATTCCTATCATAAGCATATTTCCATAAAGAATATGCAGTGTAATGTCACACATCTGTGAACATCTCAGAACTCTGCATTTTCTCTCTCCGTCATACTGAAAAAGAAGTAGCCACATTACAGTGATCCTGTCGTCCAGCTTACCTGGAAATACAGCATGTACTGAAATAGCAAACAGAGGTGAAATAACTGAGGGGAAGCCTTAACATGTAAAACCAAAAGGGAGACTGAGTCATGGCCCAAAATGCTGCATGTGCTGACTCTGCTCCAAGTCACACAGCTATAGGATGATCTTAGAGCAGAAATAAACTCTAATAACCTTTCTATAGCAGCTTTCATCATTCAGGGCTGTTCAGATACCACAAAAGTAGGTAATGTTGAGACTTTCAGTATCACTGTTCAGACTAGAGCCTCAGTTTCAAGATCTCATCTAAAACTTAAAATTTTAACAATATTTTTCCTCTCTGTGAAAATCCACTGGCTCGTTCATGTTCTTTAAAGATGCCCTGGGGCGTGTTATCCTGGAGTGCCAGACATTCCAGAAAAGTCCTGGAGATTTCTGGTATAACAGACATCCCAGAATTTTTGCAGTGTTATTGTAGCTGTGTTGGTCCCAGGATGTAAGGTGAGGTAATATCTTTTACTGGGTCAACTTCTGCTGGTGAAAGAGACAAACTTTCAAGACACACTGAGCGCTTTTTCAGGTCAGCCCAGTATCAAGAAGATCTCTGTGTTGATCGAAAGCTTCTCTCCTTCACCAACAGAAGTTGGTCCAATAAAAGATATTACCTCACCTTGTCTGTCCCAAAATAATGCATTCTGGAACTTTTCTAGTGAATCCAGAAGAGCCACTGAACTTTCAGAGGCTGAAATTTCCACTCACACAAGGTTTCTTTTATACATACTGGAGATGGTTCAAAAGGTAAGTTAAAATTTATTCAATTGATTGCCCCGATAGTGTAGTTTAAATAAGCATTAAGTACTCATTTTCCTTTCAACTGTGTAGGTCACCTTTAACATAATTAATATAGCCTTAAATGAATGACATGAAATGACCACACAGTGGTAACAGAAAGGAGAGGAATTTGGAAGGCTGACAAGCCTTATAGGATATTTAAGAAACACTGATGAATGTTTAAAGGGTCAGAACTTTGTTCAAAAAAAGCAGCAATCCACAGTTCAAAGCATGTTTTTGCTAATGTGAGAGAAGACTTCCTAAAACGTGCTGACCATTATTAAGTGGGAGAGATCAGACTATGTATGAATGTATTAAAACAACCCTTTATTGGAAGAGTGAATAGCTTAGGCGCCTTTCACATTTACATCACCATGTCCAATTCAGTTCAGATCAACAGTGAATGAAAGTTGTTACAAAGGAAGTATTTTGAACCCAATGTGTATTTGATGTGCATACAAATCTATTCATTCTAAAGGTATCTGAGTCCTGGTCTACATTGCAAACGTATGTCAGTGTAACTACATCACTCGGGGGTGGAAAATCCACACCCCTGTATGATGCAGTTATACCAACTTAACTCCTGGTGTAGACAGCACTATGTTGACAAGAGGGCTTCTCCCGTTGACATAGTCACTGCCTCCTGGGGAGGAGGGGTACCTATGCTATGGGAGAAGCTCTCCTGTCGGCATAGGTAGTGTCTTCACTAAGCGCTACAGCTGCTGCAGCCATTCAAGTGTAGGTAATCCCCAAGATTGCTTGAATAGTGACAAAAGATTAAGTAATGTTTCCCTGTCACATCAACTGAGTGCACTCATTGGATTGGTCAATCAGGCAGCCAGTAAGAACATCACTCAGAATCTAATCTATGTACAGGCTCGCCGAGGCCATGGTAATGACAATGGTGTAGTCCGGAGTATGGCCTATATTTTGAGTTTGCATGGAACAAAGTGAGTGACTTGTATCTGATTGGGCTACATTCTCCTTTAACTTTCGCCCATGTGCATTTTTATAAAATTCAAAATATTTTTTTAGTTTCTCAGTCTGTGACCCTCACATAGCCAAAGCGGAACAATTGGCAATCCTGAAATCTCTTGTGGTAACCCAAAATCT